TTTTTTTTTCTCTTTGTTTTTAATAACAAAATTCTGCATCGATTAATTTTCATTTAATGGACATTCATCTGAAGTAATAAATTTAATCCGTTCGTTTAATAAACTGGTGAACACCGAATTACATTCAAGAATATAAACTTTATGATTGTTTCTTTGAAAAGTGTTATAATCGACTTTTCAAGAACTGTATTATTCGCTCAAACTGTTAATATGTAAATCATCAACATCAATTGTAAAATTAATTTTATGATTAAAATCTTACTTTTTTTATTATTTTTTTTTTTTTTAATTTAATTCAATCAATCGAATATTTATTTAAATACTATATATAAAAGAATTCGATATAAACTTTGATAAATTTTATACTTTGCTCAATTTCTATATTAAAGCAAAAATTTTGTTTTCATAATTATTTACTTTTTTTTTCACGTTCTATTGGAAAGGTGGTTTACGAATAAAACAAAAAAAAAAACAACAAAAAAAAACAAAAAAAAAAAAAAAAAAAAAAAAAAAAAAGAAGAGGAAAAAAAAAAAGATAAAGAGAGGAGTAAATACACATTAATTACCTAGCTATTAATAAGCATTTGCCAATAAAATAAAATATTTTGAGAAAAAGAGGAAGGAATTAAACAAACGAGAAAGAGTAAGTTTATGAATAATGTAAATTAGCTGTTAAATAGCGTTTTTTCAATATTTTTGAAGGCTTTTTTTTTTAAAATGAAAATATGCCAGAATAATGAATGTACAATTTGTTCAAGATTAGTGTATCCGTATTAACGTTTATTGAAGGCTTACTTGAATCTGTATAAAATAGACATTAAAAATATGTTTAAATTTCATGGAATTGATGAATGAATGAAGTTGATGTAATAAGAAATAATTATGTCTATATGGTGTGTAAAATGGAAAAAATTCTAAGTTATTTTGCCAATTTATTCATTAAATAGTAAAATCGTTTAACGTATTATCGATTCAGTTACTTTATAATGCACTTTTCACGCATAGATATTGGTTTTTGTTTATTGATAATGCAACATCGTATCGTCTTCCGCATACTTATGTATTTCCTTCAAAAACACCTACAAAGCATAAATGCTATTTTACATTGGAATTCGATGATTTGAAAATAAGTGGCTTTATTAATTTTACATCCAAATAGAGCTTGAATAAGAAGAAGCAGAAGAAGAAAAAGAAGAAGAAACCCCCCTTATTTATCTTGTATAATAATTATAAACATAACAATAACAATAACGATAATAGTAATAGTAGTAGTAGTAGTAGTAGTAGTAGTAGTAGTAGTAGTAGTAGTAGTAGTAGTAGTAGTAGTAGTAGTAGTAGTAGTAGTAGTAGTAGTAGTAGTAGTAGTAGTAGTAGTAGTAGTAGTAGTAGTAGTAGTAGTAGTAGTAGTAGTAGTAGTAGTAGTAGTAGTAGTAGTAGTAGTAGTAGTAGTAGTAGTAGTAGTAGTAGTAGTAGTAGTAGTAGTAGTAGTAGTAGTAGTAGTAGTAGTAGTAGTAGTAGTAGTAGTAGTAGTAGTAGTAGTAGTAGTAGTAGTAGTAGTAGTAGTAGTAGTAGTAGTAGTAGTAGTAGTAGTAGTAGTAGTAGTAGTAGTAGTAGTAGTAGTAGTAGTAGTAGTAGTAGTAGTAGTAGTAGTAGTAGTAGTAGTAGTAGTAGTAGTAGTAGTAGTAGTAGTAGTAGTAGTAGTAGTAGTAGTAGTAGTAGTAGTAGTAGTAGTAGTAGTAGTAGTAGTAGTAGTAGTAGTAGTAGTAGTAGTAGTAGTAGTAGTAGTAGTAGTAGTAGTAGTAGTAGTAGTAGTAGTAGTAGTAGTAGTAGTAGTAGTAGTAGTAGTAGTAGTAGTAGTAGTAGTAGTAGTAGTAGTAGTAGTAGTAGTAGTAGTAGTAGTAGTAGTAGTAGTAGTAGTAGTAGTAGTAGTAGTAGTAGTAGTAGTAGTAGTAGTAGTAGTAGTAGTAGTAGTAGTAGTAGTAGTAGTAGTAGTAGTAGTAGTAGTAGTAGTAGTAGTAGTAGTAGTAGTAGTAGTAGTAGTAGTAGTAGTAGTAGTAGTAGTAGTATTAGTAGTAGTAGTAGTAGTAGTAGTAGTAGTAGTAGTAATAATAATAATAATAATAACAACAACAACAACAATAATAAGTAATAATAATAATAATGGTTAAGATTGATCGAAATTGATGATTGATAAGAAAGGTGTGGCATCGTATTTGCCATAGCGATTGATCGGATAAATGAATTAGATGATCGAGAGGGGGTCGTAGGCAAGAAATTGAGACATTGGAATAATAATAGAATTGGTTTTATTGTGACTAGATTACAAATTATGCCTTCCGACGTCTGATACGTCGATTAGGAACGTGTACACTTAGTAAGCGACATGGCGCCGCCACTGCTTCAAGATGACAGATGAATTTTTTTTATTCATTTTCATGCGCCCGTTCGCATCTTCTTCGTCGGATCATCATTCGGGATATGTAATTCGAGAGATATTTTCATTATTCGTTTGTTTCGTTTACTTTTTTCATTTTTCTTGTTTGTTTTTTCTTCTTCTTTTGCACGACATCGACGGGATCCATACAAAATATCGCTCATTTCTTAGGCGCTAAGACTTACATGACTATTTAAATTCAACCTATGGCATTGCTACCTCGCGTCGACCCATCACAATTAACCAATGGAATATGATGCAACGGGGTGATAATAAGGGAGCGATGAGGCTCTCTTGGCACTTTACGTATCCTTACTTTATTCCCAATTCGCCGAGCATGGCTGGCTGAACGTTAAAGTAAAAGAGACGGACAGTGAGCGAGAAAAGCCGCAGCGACTAAGTGGATTAGCAAAGTATTGCGATAACAACGTGTCCTTCTTGAAACGCAGTGGAACAGTAGTTTTGGAGAGTCGAGTGTGAGTGTGTCGCGCGAGGTGTAACTTGCAGGGATACCGAGTACTGTATACAATTATAATTCATTGATATCGATAGATGTATTTATAGCGCACTTTTAATCGATAATAATAATAATAATAATAATAATAATAATAATAATAATAATAATAATAATAATAATAATGACCCGTGCTCCATACACTGTACACATTTTTTCGCCGAATTTTCGCCTCCTCGCGAGGAGAATGACGCCTAAAATTGTTTTTGTCACTTCATACTCCTCGTCGCCCTAACCCCTTATTTTATATACGGCGCTGCTTCCTTATGCCTAAGAATTTTTGGTATCTGCCGAACTTGATTAGCATTAACTTGGTTTTATTTTTCAATCTTTTTTTTTCCTTTTTTCTTTATCTTTTTCTTTATTTATCATTACTCTTATTATCATTTCATGTTTTCGTTTAATTTCAATTATTTATTATCGTCGCGACATAACAATTTTCTGGTATACATCCATTGTCTCGTATGAACGAACGTCTACTATACAGATATCTACAGAATAGTGAGTAAATTCGATCCGTCGATTAATAATCGCGGACCTCACGCGCGCATCTGCCTCTGCTGTCGATATATGTATAAATAAATTGCGCCTGCCCCTTCGATCTCTCTCTCTCTCTCTTTCTCTCTCTCTCTCTCTCTCTCTCTCTCTCTCACTCTCTCCAATTCCAACTCCAACTTCAACTTCAACTTCAACTCCAACTTCAACTAAAATTCCAACTTCAACTCCGACTCCGACTCCGACTCCAACTCCAACTCCCACGCCCACTACCTCGATTATTCACTCGAAAATTGCATGGCATCGCGCTGCCCGAATCGATCAATGCATAATTACAATACAAATTTCGCCCAATGATAATAAAATGTCGAAGTATTGAGAAATTATTGGAGCAAAAGGACCAGTGGTTGCCTCTGGTATGCCCTATATAACGCGCTCCCCCACCCCACCCCCTCCGATTATGATTATCAAATGAAAAACGATTAAATATTGTTGTTATTGTTGAAGGTAGTTTTTGGAAATGTTATTATCGATCGACTATTAATATTATCAAGCCTCGTAATAAGTTCGCTCTAGCTTTCTTTATTTGAATCGAACATATGTGATGACCAATCGTACCAATCGCATCACCATTGTCAACACAGTTATAACCCCAATCAGTCTATTGGAATGTTATCTCGCCTATAGATTAGAGATGAGATTCTCTCACTCACTCGCTCTCTCACGCTCTATCCACCGGCAAGACACATCACCAAATATAATACAAACCTTCATATCCGAGAAAACAAAAAAAAAACATAAAAGCATAAAATTCACAAACCCAAAAGTCAAAAAGTAAAATAGATAAAGGAATTGGCATCGCACTTCGCATATTGTATGGTCATTGTCCGCGGTGGTGACTCTCGTCACGATTCAATTGCTGCTGCAGCTGCAGCGTCTGCGAGCCTATTGGATTCTCCGGCCAGTCGTAAATGAGGGGAGGCCAGTAACCGGCCGAGGCCGAGTGGTGAAGATAACTGGCGAGGCCACCGACGTTCGCCGGCCCCAGGCCCATCCTCTCGACGGAACCGAGGCCAGACGCCCCGAGGCCACCGAGGCCACCGAGGCCACCGAGGCCACCGAGGCCACCGAGGCCACCAAGGCCACCGAGGCCACCGAGGCCCATCTCCTCGTGCTCGCTTGTCTTGAGGTCCGTCGCGGTGCTCTCGTCCTCGAAGAGGTAATTGTTCGGCGGCGTCATCGAGGAGGCCGTGGACGAGGGCGCGGGCGAGCCGAGAACGGACCGGGGCCTGTGTCACTCGCTCGATGTCGTAACACTACCCGAGCTCCTTTGTTGTTGTTGTTGTTGTTGTTGTTGCTGCTGCTGCTGTTGCTGCTGTTGCTGCTGCTGCTGTTGTTGCTGTTGCTGCTGATGCTGCTGCTGCTGCTGCTGCTGCTGGTGATGATGCTGGTGATGGTGATGGTGATGCTGGTGCTGATGCTGCTGGTGCTGTTGCTGCTGCTGCTGCTGCTGCTGCTGCTGCTGCTGCTGCTGCTGGTGGTGGTGGTGGTGGTGGTGCTGGTGGTGGCCGTCCTCGGGCTGCCGATGACCGGTGCCACCAGCGGAGACCGAGCCAATTTCGAGACTCCCCCCGGCCGCTAGACTCGAGGAGCCACAGGCTGCGATAGTGTGTTGCTGATGGGGGCTCCTCGAAGCCCCCGCCTCGCCTCAAACTTGGGCCCTGGCGGTGGCGTTAACGTGCTCGGGTCCGGGCGAGTGTGGATTCGTCGCGCTCGACGTCAGGGCGTACTGGCAGGCGCTCAGACCACCACCCGATGAAGTTCTCGAGCTCACCGGGCTGATGCTACCACCGCCACCGCTTCCGCCACCACCTCCGCCACCGTTGCTGCTACCGCCGCCGCCGGCGCCGCCACCGCCACCGCTACCGCCACCACCGCCGCCACCACCACCTCCACCGCTACCGCTGGCACCCCCGCCAGCGCCACTGCCAGCCCCGCTGCCGGAGCCGGCGTTGTTCGATCCGGCACCCGCGAGGCTGCTGCTGAAGCTCGAGTAGCTGCTGCTGTGCTGCTTGGCCTTTAGGCGGAGCGAGGCTATGCTGTTGGACATGACGGGGCAGGTCTCCGAGGGCGCGACACTCCTGTGATGAGAGTACATCGGTGGGCCGTAAGGATGGTGGGGTGCGGCCGGGGCCGCGTATGGGCAGGCGGCACCGGTGGCGGCCACGGGGGAGCCCGCGACGCCGAGGCCGGAGCCCATGCCCGGTATCATCGAGGTGGCCGCCTGGCCGACGGAGACGGACATGCTACCCATGTGGCTGCCCGACAGCGACGTCGTCGGGTTGAAGCAGTTGACCGGGCTGACCTGGGGATGATGGTGGTGGTGGCTGGCCGACTGGACGACGCTGCTCAATGGGTTCACGGACCAGGTGAAGTTCTTCCCGTTGAGGGGCGACGGCACCTTGGCCCAGTTGTTATAGGAACTGTAGTTGTATAGGGACTCCGTGTCCGCGAACGGCTGGCCAATAAAGCTGTTGAAGCCGGCCGTGCTGAAGCCAGATTTGAAGTTCTCAGCCGCGGCTGCGGCTGCGTTAATGACGTTGCGCTCGCGTTTCCGCCACTTGGCCCGACGATTTTTAAACCATACCTAAGGACAATGAAAAAGGATATTTTCTCGTTAATTTATTATGTCCGACAACCCATTCACCCCGCCAATCCATAATACTTTAACGCGTCCAGTGATCACCGCCTCGTCATCGATATTACCACTATCACTACCACTACCGTTACAGCCATCATCATCGTCGTCATCATCGTCATCATCATCATCATCATCGTCATCATCATTATTATTACAATTACTTATTTATATATACGGCCTTATGTTAATACAACTTCTAGAAATAATGTCTCAATAATGCAAGATAATTATTTACTGCTTGGCTTTTTTTCCGTATAAAAATAAAATTTTACATAAAATGCTCCAATTACCTTGCTCGTAAGCATAAATTAAAACAAAACGCATTAATTTAATCTAAAATTCGAGGATACGTTGGCTGTATAAGTGTGTTTGGGATTCGTGATGTTCCGGTTCTGTTAGGATAATCGTCGCGCCTGTATCCCTGTAACCATCCCTTCAGAAACTCTCACTCTACACTCTCTGATTAAAAAATTTCCCAAGTACATTAATGTTTTTTGCTCGCCCACCCAAGCATTTCTACGTCTTTGGCCAACGTACTTTACGACCCCGTCAGATTTACCCATATCGTGTTGCTAACGTTATTACTCATGGGAAAACGGCACGAGCTTGATACAGCGAGAAAGAAGTAGCGAGGGAGGATGGAGAATAGAAGGAAGGAAGGCGAGAAAGGGTGAGGAGAGGCACTCCAGAGACAAATGGTAAAGAAAACCCCTCCAAGCAGGCTGTGGTTCGCTGTCTCTCTGCCACATTGAAATATGATGGTGTTAATTCAAGGCGGCGTACAACTCGCTCGCTTGCTCGCTCGCTCGTTCGCTCGATACCATACGTTCCGCACACCCACTTCTCTGCGTAATGAAAGTTTCCCTATCCTCTTCCCTCTATCCCCCTCTAGCTCCGTCGACCCCTCAACCCAACCCATTCGATCTCCCACTCCTCGAGAGTACGTAATATACAAGCTTACCCTTAAATACCGGCTCAACGTCCTTGTACAGACAGTCGAGCAAATCTTTGCGTCCTAAGGCGCCTTCATTTCGGCATAACCAAGTCTCAGGACAATAACAACCTACAACTAATGCTACCAACGCACAAATGTTTTATAATCGGAAACTCATATTCATTCGCGCACCGGCAGCCATATTTTATTTGGCCATTTTATGTAATAAATTTCGTTGCCCTGAGCAAAATGGAGAGCATCGAAGATAGAGGCGAATGTAGAGGATAGATACACCAAGTCCAGCTTCTTAGATAAAATCCATCAGGCATTTCGCGACGCTATAACCCGTAACCTAAGCATGTAAACCACGAATAGATTTTCGATTTTTTCGTAATTCGGCTTTTGAACGTATGTCCCGGTTCCAACATACCTAAACGCGCTCCGGTGCTCCTTTCTCTCTCTCTCTCTCTCTCTCTCTCTCTCTCTCTCTCTCTCTCTCTCTCTATCAATCAATCTATCTATCCATCTATCCATCTATCTCTCGTTTCTTTTGCGAACGCTTCACTTTCGGCATGCGCAGGAGCGGAGGGTGACGGAGGAGGAGGAGGAATACACGGATCACCGAGTTGAGGAACGAGGAGTGACTGGTAGTGTGGGAGGGTGACTCGCGAAGAGAACGAAGCGAGGAAAAACTCATCCGTCGGCAATTATACGGCTGGCTGCGCTCGGATGCACGTCCCTCTCGCGTAACTGTAAGAGAAGCTTCAGTCGGACGGAGGAAAGAAGAAGAAGGCTGACGGGGTCGGAGCAGCTACGGAAGGATGCCCTTAGAAAAGAAGGGAGATATAAGGCCGTTGAGGTGCCGCGTACGATGAATAAGAGACGTCGTGGTGGGTGGATGGCTGGGGGCCCCGTTGGAGGGTGACGACGAGCAAAGAGAGAGAGAGAGAGAGAGAGAGAGAGAGAGAGAGAGAGAGAGAACGTAGAAGGGCGGTATCCTTGCAAGACGGATGGCAGAGCGATCGTGCGCTCGCTTGCGCACACGAGCCTCCGGGGTAGGCGTAGCGACGCTAAGCGCCACGACGAGTCATTGAAAGAGGGGCGAGGCTAATGAAGAGTAATATGCTCGGCTGTGCAGAATATCTTCTCTACCTTCGAGCTCATTGCGGATTTTTGCGACACCTAGGCGCACGAATGCGTCGCTGCAAACCCGCGCAATTGCCGGGAAAAGTGTCGCCATCTTTCGTGGGGTGATTGCGTTGTCGTCGGTGGAAGGTCAAGTGCCGCGTGGACGTTTGCGCGGTCTAACCTCGCAAATTATTCGCATTCTGGGCAGGATCGAAAGCTAAATTAGTTGAGCGCAGATTTTTTGTTTCATCGGTGTGCAAGATGCCGAAGTCTAAGTGTCTAAAATACCTTAGGTTTGGCAAACGCTTGGAGAATCAATGTACGTATTTTTAAAAGCCGAAAAAAATTCCAAGCTGGACATATGCAATTAAACATGTGCTTTGTGTCAATATCCCTCGAAATAATGGCAGAGCTTGTATTAGTCGTGCATTTTAGTTTGTCACAAAACATTTCTTTGTATGCAGAATACAAAAATGAATATGCTGCATCGACATGATGATTTGTGGGTGCGATTGAGTGCATACGTACGCGTACGTATACGCAGTTACATACGATACAGGAAAAATAAAAATAGAAGGAAATAGCGGTGTGATGAGAGAGAGAGAGAGAGAGAGAGAGAGAGAAGGACAAAGAGAGGAAAGTAGCAAGGAGTGAAATAATGTATTTTTATGGCAGTGTACTATCGTACCCGAACGACATGTAGAATTTGTTTATATGTGAGGAGAAGATCGTAAACTTAAAAAGCATTTAGTATAGAAAGTGGGCAAGCAATGTCGAGCTCGAGCTTATAAATTTGACGAATGAATTAACGAAACTTTTCGATAATCTAAAGTACAACGAGGATGCTTTTTTCATCAGTATCATACGATGTCGAATAATAATATTAGCAATTAAGTTTTGTATTTTTTTTTTCAATTCTTAGTACTTTCTTTTCAACGATTAAATTTTTTTGATATTAAAAAAATCATTTAAATCTTATAAGTGAAAACTACACTTTAATTTGCTATTGCCATATATATATATTGAAAGTTATCTTATTCGTTGTCATAAAGAAGCTGACATTTTTGAGAATACAAGATTAATTTGGAATACAGATCCGTCCACTTTAATTATCCTATCGTACCTCTTTCACTTATATCTTTTCCATCTATTCACTATTTGTATGTCTATTCTCTCTCTCTCTCTCTCTCTCTCTCTCACACACACACACACGCACACACACATTCTTCACGAAGAGGCTTTGATATGCAAAAGTTATTTGTAAAATATCGCACGTTTGCTACTGGCTCTTCCAAAGTCACCATAAGAAGGAAGGATGCGTAGAAAAGAAAGTGGCATTTCGTTGCGCGGCACTTTAATAAGTACGAAGGGCGCTCATCATCAAGTTTCGTTGTGGGATAAATGGGAGCCAATGTTTTCTCAAAGAGAGAAAGAGAGAGAGAGAGAGAGAGAGAGAGTACACTAGCAGGCAAACAAAAGCCAAGCGACGGTACCACGTCAAGCGAGCAATAAAACCTCATCGAATCACGACCCCCCGACCCCACAATCATGTAAGCTTCTCCGCACGGCTCAATCTACCGAAGCTTATATAACTGTAATGAGACTGCGGCCGAAGGCCTCATCAATCACCTCATCCCATTTTCTCAGGTTTTCCCATTTTTCCGAATCGTTCTCTCTCTCTCTCTCTCTCTCTCTCTCTCTCTCACTCTTGATTCGTCCCACTTTATTCCTCCGTGCAACAATTTTCCTTCTTCCCTTTTAAACTTTTCCGATCTCTTCTTTATTTTATTTATCGCTTTATGAATTTCTTTTGTTCCTCCTTACACTATCTATCGACTTTACTTTAATATTTATTTTCATTTAGTTTTTATCTTAACTTAACGTCCTTTAAACATTATTTAATATAGGTCATATCCGACAGTATCCATAGTACGATAATGCCTTCGCTTCAAAATGTCAGTTATACCGGATAACATTTTTTCAAACTTCATTAAACAACATTGCCACATTCCAAGCAAATATCTCCTTTTTATTCATCTTAAAACCAAAAATGTAAACATTTTAAAGTAATAGAAGTTTCATACACTAATTTACTAAAAGCAAATAGAACTTTATAGCCTGAAAATCCAAAGCTAATGCAGAGCACCGACGCAACATATTAACGCCAATAAGCGTCGCGAGCGCGAAATTGATAAATGTTTATCGTCGAAAATTCTTCATCCCGTAAGTATTCTTTCTACAAAGATTACTTCCCGTACCGAGGCTCGACAGTCAAACATATTCGATTCATCGATAAAAAAAAATATAGTCCCGGTTCCTACAGCAATATTCAACTTTTCCACCGCCTATATACCGCTAAAGCTCATCCCACGTGATCCTGGATATCTTAGGAAAGGTATCCAATGGTCAATCGGCTACTCGGCGATTTGTCATGGTAAAGTGAGTGTCGCGCACGTTGGCTCAACGTCGTCCATGGCTGATGAAACGACGGATATGCAGTGACCGATGTGAGTAATTAAACTCAATCGGTCATGCTTTTCGTCTCTCTCTCTCTCTCTCTCTCTCTCTCTATATATATATATATATATATATATATAAACGCTTCGGAGATACAGTGGCAAGGTAGTTTTGTAGACATATTGGTACATGAGTTTCCATGTAAACTTCCTTTCTCATTATGAATCATGTGTCAAAATTAACCTGGTCGTTAATGTATTTTTGCCATAATTGATTTTCGCCATTGTATTAATAGATTTATATCCTTTATGCAGTTGTATAATATTTGATAGGATTCTCGTCCCATATTCATGTTGCTTAAACAAAACATAATGCTACGTAATAAAGCACATTCTTATATAATTAGAAATTAGAGGGAAAATATTGA